TTTTTTTTTTTTTTTTGCTTTTTTTTGTGTCTGTGTTTTGTTTTGTTTTGTTTTGTTTTGTTTTGTTTTTTTTTTGTTTCGTTTTGCTTTGTTTCGCTTTGCTTTTGTTTTACGTATCATTTTCCAATTAAAGATCCGACGCTTTTGTTAGGCATGAAAAACGAGCATCGATTACATCGCTGTATCGTCTGTCAATTGGGCATGCATAAAAGAAAGAATTTATTGATTTTTAAGCACTGTAATATTTAATGAAAGACGCTTGATTACACGTTGCTTTCTTGTAAGCAATACCGACATTAAAATCCTCGCTGGCGAATGCAGCATCGGAACAACAGAAATGCTCGGCCGGGTACATGTACATTTCATTTTTAAGAAGGCATGCAATTCTTCAAGAGCACATTTACCGATTCGCATTATTGCACAAGAGCATGATTGATACATGAATAGCGATTATAATTAAGTGAGAATGTGATTTTCCTTTTATTTCATTCATACGCTGCAAGCACATATTTCACAAATGGCAGGCAATGTGCGCGCGCGTGTGTATACACCCGTGCATGCGCGTGTACGTGCGTGCGTGCGTGCGTGCGTGCGTGCGTGCGTGCGTGCGTGCGTACGTGCGTGCGTGTACGTTTGTAAATTTGCAAGCCGAGGGCTGAATGGAAAAATGTTAATAGGACTTGAATTCGTTATTAGCGGCAAAAATATTCTAAATATTCCAGCGTGTTTGAGCAAATGATTAGTGTACGATATTGTCGGTCCTAGTCTTTTTAAAATTATTTCGGAGTCTCGCTCATCTCCACGGACGCTGCAACAAACACCCCGTTTTTTTTTTCTGCATTCGCCGCCCCTCTTGGACATTCTCCTACGCGCTCCTTTCCCGATCCTCCTTACAAATTCCTGCGCTCGTTTTTTCGCCCTCGCGTCCCCCAGGCCCCGCCGTCACCCCATCCTCGCTCGCCACCCATCACCGTCCCGTCCACCAATTCTCCTCGACGTACCCGTCGAACGCTCGGACCACTGCTTTAAAATCCGGCCCCCGCGATATCCACAATCTCGGATCGAGGAAAAGAAAACGGAGGAAAATTCCTGATGGCACGTGCATATTCTTTCTGCGGCGTGTCTCGGTGCCCGCGTCTCCCCCATCATTCACGGGGCCCGACTCTGCCGCCGCTATCCCCCACCACGGTATCGTCGGGCAAGGGCCCCGGCGAGGCCAGCCTACCCCCACCAGCGCCCCGGCGAAAGGTGGAAGGAGGAGGAATGCACGGGGCCTACTCCTGGTGCGTGTGGTGAAGGGAGGGAGGCAGTAGTATCGCGCCGTTACGGAGCTCACGCACGGCCCAGTGTTAGTAGGTGCCGCGGCACGTCGGCGTGACGCCGTGCACGAACCTTTTGCGAGCATCGTGTCCGAGAGTGAGCTTGAGAGCTAGACAGAAAGAGAGAGAGAGAGAGAGAGAGAGAGAGAGAGAGAGAGAACGACGCCAGCGCCCGCAGGGGCACGATGTGACCGGGAAGACCCGGAGGACGCGACGGACAGAACCGAGAGGATCGCTCGCCGGTAAGTGAGGCATGACCGAGCAAGACGTTACGGGGGTCCTTGGCCAGTTGTCGCGCGACCGATCGCGATTTTATCTACGTCGTGCGCCAGGAGTCTCCCGGTGTCGAGGACATCGCGTCAGCAGCTGCCGGGAACTCGGCTGGCGCTCTCTGTCGCCCGAGCTTTTCGGGTGAATCGCCCCGGGCAACGTGTCGACGTCTCGACGCTCCTCCTACCTAAGCCACGAACACTAATAGCAACGAAATTGCGCGAGCACAAATCGGCAAATATACGTGCGATCGTCGTTGCCTTCATAACGTCCTTGTTCCTGCTTCCGACGAGCAAACGATCGTTCATGGAAATTCGTCTCTCGGAAAGTCTCTCGAAAAAACTTTATTTATACCGCCAGACCTTTCTTTAAGCAACGGCCCCTTTGGTATTGGAATCGCGCACACGATGCGAGGACGAACCCACTAGGACAATTTATCGAACTTTTTGTTTATTTATTCTTTCCTCAATTCTTCTTTTTTCTTTCTTTCCTTTCTGGCTCAGCTTCACTCGTGTGTTTTAAGTTTACGACTCGATGCTCAATTAGCCGAGGATTTTCGCTTTCTACGATCTTTGCTGCCTCTACATTTTTTGTTAGAGTCGCGTGTTAAACAAGCTGCGCCTACCATTGCGAGCGATTTTTTTTTTTGTTTGGAGCGAGTACTTTCCAATTTTTCGCAAACTTGGTCGGTGCTTAAGCAGGAAGGAGCATTTATTTTTCTTCGTTCTCGCAATGGCATTGGCCGTATTTGGATTTCATTTTTATGCCGAGGCAAGAGACACATTGTGACAATGCTGTGATTGCAATAGGATGACATATCTTGTGATCGGACACACATATCTCTCGCTATCGCTTCAATTCACCATGTTTATTAAAAGTACGATAGAAATAATTCTTAATAAATATACGATCGAAGATCGGATGAGAACTCAGGTCGGGATGGAGCATAATATTTTCATTTCATTCGTAAATTCTGAAAGCTTGCGTTATGACAAGCTCGAGGCTCAATTTCTTTCGAATTTTAACGGACGTCAATAGACATTGACGAATTTCAGATGAAATCGGTGGAGAAGGAGCGAGTTAGGGACGTAAGCGAGTACGGAATAAACATTCAGTTTTTAAAAGCGGCATCTAAAGTTACGTGCGATCGATGGTAATAGAGCCGTTCGAGAGATTTATTGAAAATACTGAATGACTCGAGGCGCGTGAAATTAAAAGTCACTCGGCGAAATGTAAAGGAAAGTGATCCAATTTGTAAATTGCTCGGGAGGATAATTATCGTTCGGCGGCGTGAGCTTAAAGGCCGGACAGTAGATTTTCATTCGATTATAATTAATCCGATGCAGCTATACACTTAAGTCGCAATTTAAATTCATCGCCACGACAAATCTTCCGCGCTGCCTCCGAGACAATAAACACACACGACCGTCTACCCCGAGTCTTCGTCATTGTTACTTTTGCTCCCGACGACTATAATTATCCACCTCCGTGCGAACTAAAAATCAATTCGCGCCTCGTAACTTTCCCTCAAATTGCTCTAGAACCAAGTGTTATTGTGATTCATCCACCGCCATTGGGCAAAGGTATTTTGGTATTTTGAGTAAGGCACCACCTTACTCTCCATAAATTGTCCCTCGAACGAAGATATTTCAGAGTCGCGTTGGGGAATGCACGTTGATGCTCTCGCGTACTTTTTCACGCACGAGCATTAGGTTGCAACGCGTGTGCGTACTTAAGACGAAGAAGAAGGTAAGCCCAGAGCGGGCTTTTTTTTTTTTTTTTTTTTTTTTTTTTTTTTTTTTTTTTTTTTTTTTTTGTAATTTTCTTGACGTATAATATTATGTGGCGCGTATGGGTTGAGGGAGTGACGTTGGCGTTGGTGACGATAAGGTTGTGGGAGGGGATGGGGGAGGGGGCGAAGCTTCACTTTTTCGCGGCATGAAATTAGCGTTAAAATTAGAAAGGGCACGGATGGGCTCGCGGAGACGATTGTGTGTCAAAATAGGAGCTCGTCCCAGTCGCTTTTACTCACCATTACCAGATTCTCATGGAGGCCGTTACGAACGGCTCCCCGTGCAACTCACCCGCTTTTATCGCGCCGATAATTACCGCAAGTGCAATCGATCTTCGTCGGGTATACGTTACGATGGCTTTACGAGGTTCGATCATTCGTCGGATGGAATCGTTAAATAGTAATTACAAAAAAAGCCTCTTAGAATGTCAATTAACTGTAACACGCACTGGCATTTATACTTTCAACCGAGATGTGGTAAAAAATTATTCACAATGGCGACCAAGGTGGCCTATAATTTCATAGTGAATTGAGGTCAAACGAGTGTTTCGACTACTTTAAGCCTTCTTGACCCGAGAACATTTTTATAATAGAGCGAAATAATTAAAGGAACGCCTTACAGCAATGCGCTTGGCCAATGCAATTTTTCGAAATATAAAATTATTAGCGGATGTTGGAGAAGTCACGTTCCTTCGGAGTAGCAATTTGCATACCGAGATGCGTTATGTTTAAAAGCGAATTATTTAAGCGCTGGCCTTCCCAAGGTTTTCACGTGGAAAAGCCTTCGGAATATTAATAGACTCGCCCACTTAATCATCTTCGAGTTTCACTTAGAACTCCTTAAATACCAATTCAGATAAGATCTCGCTTTGGGCGCGATTTCCATATATAGACTTGCTAGTCCTTTTTTCACAATCGTTTATCGAAATTTGTACCAGTGAGCAAATGTCGAGAAGATGACGATGCTGCCAGCCATCATCTTCGAGCCACATCTTTCACGCTCGTTTAATCTAATATTTTCGAAATTTCTAATTTTATTTGTTTTAATTAACGCGTAGTTGAGTTTTTCCATTTCGCCTGAGCAGTGAAAATCAATCAAAATACCGTGGCAAATCGCATCGCACCACCGAGTAAAACTTTTGAGAGTTTACAGAGTTGGAATTTAAGAGTAGGAATGAGGAAAACGAAATATTGATAGCTATTGTGACTAAAAATATTCCGCTAGTCCCATTGGCTATCGTTGGCTATTTTAAATCATAAATTTTAATCATAACTTACAACGTTGCAATTTGTATTTTTATGGCAATTGTTAACACGTAATTTTGAGCGTTCGAATTGCTTTGCACGGATTTTGACAAAAATTTTTTATTACAAATTCATGGAGAGATTAATGACGAATCAGTGGGGGAAAAAAAAAACAAAAAAAAAAAAAAAAATATCTTACACTACATAAAAACGAAGCTACAATTTTACTTTAAAGTTCGTTTGGGTTTCTGAGAAGGAATAAAAATATACGCATAGAGTGATAATTATGAAATTTTTTCCAACGATAGTTGTGGAGCATAATTTCGAATGTAGACGTTGATATTTACGGTAAGTTTTTTGATTTTGAAAATAATAGCTCGCCATAAGCATTAAACGTGACGTTTAAAATGCTAAGAAAGCCATCTTAACCAAATATTTTTTTAACGCAATGTGCAATATTGCGTACATCCTTGTATTTGGAAATGCTTATGTTTATGCTTGAATAAAAATTTGTGTCGGTAATCAATTATAGAAGATTTTTCATTGTTTTCTTCATTATCTTCATTCTAATATCATATGTAATCATTGTGCGACAAAATACATTAAATAGATTTACATGTCATAGATTTTCACAAAGACAGAGTTAAAATTTATTATCTGATTTTGTATTGTTTATTTTGTATTAAATGATATAATAATAAGCTCACCGCGGCCGTTCGTCGTCTAATTTTCAATTGCCAAGCGATTTATATTTACGACAAATTTTTGTGGTTCCCCATTACGTATATTTGTACTGCTTACCGCACGTGTGGTGAATAGCAAATAAAATATCCAAAAATGCCTGAAATTATTAAAAGAACAAATTTTTCTCCACCTATGATTATTGGAAGACAATTTTGACAATTAAGTCTTCGTTGTTGAGCATTGACATGTTAAATAAGAAAATTGAATTACGATTCGAGCGACCCTCGGTCACGATCCATGCAACCAAAAACACATTTTCCTCACCTTCTCATTATTAAACGTTGTACTTTGTTAAATTTAAATCTCATTCTACTATGAAGATGGTATTCAAATTGGCTGAAAATTCTACACGTGTATTTGCATAATATTTTATCGTTACAACCAACTGGCTCATATATACAAATGATACATGCATTCTATAAACCTTGCTGTGGTGCTGTAGGCGCGCGCGCGCGCGCGCGCAGAGAAACATCGAGTGCGAGCGCGTTATCTCTAACATTTTCCATTTCAATACACACTTTTAGTTACAATCATGATGAATTAGTTTCTGCCATTTAAATAACAATATATTTTCAATTAGCTGAGCAATGCTTGTAAAGCCTTCGGCGAGCGGTTTCCTAACGTCAATCTCAGCATCTTCGTCTCGAATGAGCGAAGGACGATCGGAAATGACGCGTAACAACTTATCGTACAGGATTCACGTGAAAAGCCGCACCGATGTCATCAAAAACGCAATATAAGAATTTTCCCCTCCTAATCATCGTCCCCGTAATTCGATTAACTTTCCCGTCCAGCTAAACGTAACAGAGAAAGGCTTTTAACGGGACAATACGTCCCGCTTCGGGGACACGGAATTATTCCGTGCGTATCTCACATTTTTTCATCTCCATTTCTCAACTCGCATGGCACGGCTGAACATCGTAGGAATCCTACGTATCGCAGAGTTGTTTTAACAAGAGGAATTCGGCTGCCGCGCCTCGCGAAGCCTACGTGCACATCCTTCCGCGACAATGGAAACGACATTTCTCCAATCTCGTCTCAACCATCTCCAGTCGCACGCTCGAGAACAGGTCATCCGAGGGGGTCGTCCCGTATGACGATGGGGCGAGGGGCTTGAGTTGAGGAGTAAGCGGGGAGGGGAATTAGACATTAAATGGCATATTAAAAGAGTTCAATGTCTCTTGAACGTGG